ACTTTCCTGTTGTGCTTATTCAGCCCTCTCTGCTGATATATATATTACACAATAAAGATCTAAAGACCACACACACAACGCACACAAACACAATTTCTATCCAGTGGCACGACCTCACGTAGCTGTGCACTCCACTAGTGAGTTCCACTGTCTCAATTGCCAAGTCCCATCCTCGTTGCCAATTAGGTTGCGAATGGGTTTGGGATTCGGCAATAATCACACAGAACAAAGTGGCTATGGCTATTCAGGTGAAAGCATGTTAAAGAAGCAAAGTATGCCTAATTACTCGTGAGGTAATACTTGTCGGCAGGATACTGAGACTGAACATTCTCTCTCTGTTTCTTCTCTCTCTCTCCCCCCCTCTTTTCTCCCTCCTCTCTCTCCCTTTTTTCTCCCCTCTCTCTCTCTTCCCCCCTTTCGCCCATCTCTCTCTGTTTTTTTCTCCTCTCTCTCTTTTTCTCCTCTGTCTCTCTTTCTCTTCTCTCCCTCTCTCTCTTTTTTCCCCTCTCTTTCTCCCCCACTCTCTTTTTCTCCTCTCTCCTTTTCTCCCCCCTTTCTCCTCTCCCTTTCTCTTTTTCTCTTCTCCCTCTCTCTCTTTTCTGCCCCCTCTCTCTTTTTCTCCCACGCTCTCTTTTTCTCCCCCATCTCTCTCTTTCTCCTCTCTCTCTCTTTTTCTCCTCTCTCTCTTTTTGTCCCCTCTCTGTTTTTCTCCCCCCTCTCCTTTTTTCTCCCCTATCTCCCTTTTTCTCATCTCTCTCTCTTTCTCCTATCTCTCTCTTTTTTCTCCCCCTCTATATTTTTTCTCCCCTCTCTCTATTTTTTCCCCTTTCTCTCTCTCTCTTTTTTCTCCTCTCTCTATCTATTTTTCTCCTCTCTCTTTCTTCTCCCCTCTCTCTTTTTTCTCCCCTCTCTCCCCTTTTTTCTCCTTCCTGTCTCTCTTTTTCTCCCCTCTCTTTTCCCCCCTCTTTTTTCTCCCCTTTCTATATCTCCCCTCTTTTTTCTCCCCTTTCTATATCTCCCCTCTTTTTCTTTCTTCCCTCTCTCTCCCTTTTTACGCTCCCCTCTCTCTTTTTCTCCACCCTCTCTCTTTTTCTTCTCTCTCTTTTTCTCTCCTCTCTCTTTCTCTTTTCTCCTTTCCTTTTTTCCTCTCTCTCTCTCTTCTTTTCTCCCCCCCTCTTTTCTCCCCTTTCTTTCTCTCTCTATTTTTCTCCTCTCTCTCTCTATTTTTCTCCTCTCTCTCTCTTTTTTCTTCCCTCTCTCTTTTTCTCCCCCTCTCTCTCTCTTTCTCCTCTCTCTCTCCCCTTTTTTCTCCCCTCTTTCTCTCCCCTTTTTTCTCCCTCCTGTCTCTCTTTTTCTCCCCTTTCTCTATCTCCCCTTTCTCTCTTTCTTCCCTCTCTCTCCCTTTTTACTCTCCTCTCTCTCTCTTTTTCCCCCTCTCTCTTTTTCCCCCTCTCTCTATTTTTCTCCCCTCTGTCTTTTACTCTCTTTCTCCCCTTTCTATCAATTTATCTCCCCTCTTTCTCTTTCTTCCCTCTCTCTCCCTTTTTACTCTCCTCCCTCTCTCTTTTTCCCCCTCTCTCTTTTTCCCCCTCTCTATGTCTTTTACTCCTCTCTGTTTTTTTCTCCTCTTTCTCTCTCTTTATCTCTTTATTCTCTCTCTATTTTTCTCCTCTCTCTATTTTTCTCCTTTCTCTCTTTTTCTCTTCTCTCTTTTTTCCTCTCTCTCTGTCTTTTATTTTTCTCTCTCTCTTTTTCTCTCCTCTCTCTCCCTTTTCTCTCCTCTCTCTCTCTTTTTCTCCCCTCTCTCTGCTTTTTCTCCTGTCTCTCTGTCTTTTACTCCTCTCTCTGTTTTACTCCTTTCTCTTCCCCCACCTCTTGCTCCTCTCTCTCTTTCTCTTTTTCTCTCTCCTTTTCTGTCTCTTTTTCTCCTATCTTCCTTTTTCTCCTTTCTCTCTCTCTCTTTTCTCTCTGCTCTCTCTCTTTTTCTCCCCTCTCTCTCCCCCTTTTTTCTCCTCCTCTCTCTTTTTCTCCCCTTTCTCTCTCTCTCTCTCTTTCTCCTCTATCTATTTTTCTCTCCTCTCTCTCTTTTTTCTCTCCTCTCTCTCTTTTTTCTCCCCTCTCTCTTTTTTCTCCCCCTCTCTCTCCCCTTTTTTTCTCCCCTCTCTCTCCTCTCTCTTTCTCCCCTTTCTATCAATTTATCTCCCCTCTTTCTCTTTCTTCCCTCTCTCTCCCTTTTTACTCTCCTCCCTCTCTCTTTTTCCCCCTCTCTCTTTTTCCCCCTCTCTATGTCTTTTACTCCTCTCTGTTTTTTTCTCCTCTTTCTCTCTCTTTATCTCTTTATTCTCTCTCTATTTTTCTCCTCTCTCTATTTTTCTCCTTTCTCTCTTTTTCTCTTCTCTCTTTTTTTCCCTCTCTGTCTTTTATTTTTCTCTCTCTCTTTTTCTCCCCCTCTCTCTTTTTCTTCCCTCTCTCTCCCTTTTTCTCTCCTCTCTCTCTCTTTCTCCCCTCTCTTTTTTTCTCCTTTCCCTCTCTCTTTTACTCCTTTCTCTTCCCCCCTTGCTCCTCTCTCTCTTTTTCTCTCTCATTTTCTCTCTCTTTCTCCTCTTTTTCACTCATCTCTCTCTTTTAATGCCCTCTCTCTCTTTTTCGCCCTCTCTCTCTTTTCTCTCCCCCTCTTTCTCTCTCCTTTTCTCATCTCTCTCTTTCTCCTCTTTTTTCTCTCTCTATTTTTCTCTCTCTATTTTTCTCTTTTTCTCCTCTCTCTCTTTTTCTTTCCTCTCTCTCTTTTGATGCCCTGTCTCTCTTTTTCTCCTCCCTCTCTTTTTTCTCTCTCCCTCTCTCTTTTTCTCCCCCTCTCTCTTCTTCTCTCTCTTCTTATCCTCTCCCTCTTTTTTCTCCTCTCTCTTTTTCTTTCTCCTCTCTCTTTCTCCTCACTTTTTTCTTTCTTTTTCTCCTCTCTATCTCCTCTCTTTTTTCTCCTCTCTCCTTTTCCCTCCTCCTCTTTTTTTTCCTCTCTCTCATTTTCTCTCTCTCTTTTTCTCTCTCTTTTTCTTTTCTCTCTCTTTTTTTTCTCCTCTCTGTTTATGCCCTTTCTCTCTCTTTTTCTTCCCTGTCTCTCTCTCTTTCTCCCCCTCTCTCTTTTTCTCTTCTCTCTTTTTCTCCCCTTTCTCTCTCTCTTTTTTCTCCCTCCTTTCATTTTTTTCCTCTTCTCTCCTATGTAGAGCAATGAAATGTCTAGCAAATTGTAAGTATATTGGGGGGGAAGCTAACCTTCTTTTTTTCCGGGTTTTTTTTTTTTTTTTTTTTTTTTCTGATCATGACCTATAGAGCAGTTGGAAAGACCTTCTAGTCTATTTCACTGAAAATGTGGAGCCCTTAATAGTTCTGCATATTTATTTGTCAAGTATATTTTCACTAGATCTGTTGAAATATGTGTGTAATGTAACTTTGAATAATGGACCTTCTGCTTGAAGTTACATTTCTATTGTCTAGAACAGCAAATAATCTTGCTGGTGGCTGCACATGAATTTCTGTGGGGTTTTGTTGTTGTTGTTGTTGTTGTTTTTAGGGCCCAGCTGCTCGGATTTGAAGCAGCCTACGTATTCAGGGTTTGAAAGAGATGTCTTCAAAACTATAGCAGACTACTTTGGTCAGATAAAAGAGCCCATGCCTAGATGATACAGGCATTTTCTCGTATTCTCTGTTCAAAGGACGAAATGGACTTGGATGAACTGCTTGCTGCTAAACTAGTATCTTTTCTCATGGGCAATTATCAAGAAATCCTAAACATTTCTTCTGTGGAGGAGCATGTTGTACATCTCCAAAGAGTCCAAGTAGGTGTCTAGTGGAGAAGTCTTATGTTTTTGTGCTTTAGTAACAAATTTATCCTTTCTGTTCCTGAAAGCTTGACAGATCTTGAAGACTTTATCTCTGCTAGTATATGCAGCACTAATTAATTTTCACTGCTATCTATCACAAGTATGTTTTTTAATCAAGTTAAGTAGATAATGGGTTGTTTAGAGACAGGAACATCTAAGTATGTTCTACTGTTGTTAGCTCTATCTTCAGGGAGTGGGGTCCTGATCTGTGAAATTTATAGTACTGAAGAAAAACTGTAAGGGATATTCAGTGTTTCCTTTAATGTTCTGTTTTGCTGGGAGAGCTTTCTTTATTTACTTAACTTTTCATATTTTTTTTTCTATTTCTTTTGCCCAATATTTTATTTTTCTTCAAAGCTGCTGCCTTTAGTTTTCTTCCTTAATTTGTACCAAAATGGTTAGTCATTTTAGCTTTTATCAAGAATGAGGCAAGCTTCCTTGGTGTCATGTTTTCTGACTTACTAGAACTCACAGATGCAAGAGATGTGAAGCAGAATCTCAGATCTTTACTTCTTATCTTTATTTAGGGACTTTAAATGGTCAATTTGATTAAACTTCTTCTCCCAAATTTATTCTAGAATTTATATGTTTATTTTCTTCAGATAAAATATTCTGGAGCTGACACTGATGCAACTTTTCCTGCTCCATCATTTTGTCACCAAATCAGCACAGATGAATTTGAATCCCAACAGGCAAATGGCTCTCAAGAACCACTGGCAGCTTTATTGGAAGAAATCACAATGAATAAAGAAATATCTGTCAAAGACAAGAAGAAACTCAAACAAGTAAATCATTCTTCTATAGTCTTAGATGTCTAGTTTTCAAAATAGATTATAACCTAAAATAATAGATATTCTTAGATTTATTTTTTCATATTATTTAGAATAGAGATATTGTGATGAATCAAGCCATATTGGAAAATAACACTTGTCTCTCTCTACAGATGTATATAGAGTGCAATAGAATATACATTTTTCATGTTCCATAAGTGGAGGCGGCACTTTATTTAATGCTAAGTTTTGGAGCGTATTCTTCATTTAAATTATTGTATTTTTCTAGTTTCAGAAATCTTACCCTGAAGTGTACGATTACCTACTCCTCAAGCTGAAGCAGTGCTATTTCCAGAAAAAAACAAACAGAAGCCACCAATACTGATGTGGGCCTTAAAAATGCTGTTCCAACCATTTCACAGTACCAGAAGCTTTCAGATGTTGATGGCTGGCAATTCATCAGCAAGCAGAATCCAAGCATAGTATTGATGGGTATTCTGCAAAAGGAACATGACCAGCATGTAATTACTCAAAAAACTACTGGAGTAGTAGTTCCTCTGCTGGCACAGTAGAAAAGATCAAAAGGAGGAGGAAAGTACCGAGGAGGTAGAAATGTGAACCTTGGTAAATCATAATTTTTTTAATGGGTTTTATTTTTGAAAAACCAAGATGGTTAATCTATGTGGATGGTAACACATATTGGCTGTATTCTAACCATCCATTTGTGCTCTAAATATATTTTTCTGTAACGTGCTGTTAGTGTCTTGTAAACAGCATGCTTCCCCTTGCAACTCAGTCATTTGTATAAACTGGACTGTTTGAGAAATTAATGTGCTGTACATACTTGAATATGTATGAAACATTGGATTTTGTAGTTTGTTGTCTACTTGATAGTATCGTACACGATACATAAGGCTGATTTCAGATCAGTGTAAAAAATTGTCCTTATTTTCCTGATTTATGTGGTGCATTACATCTTGAGTCAACTCATTAAATTTTATAGTTTGGACCCAGGTTTTTAAAGCAATTACCATACCTCTTGCTAATATTCCTGTTCAAAATTGAACATTTGTCCAAAAGAAATTTCCCACTTTTTCAAAAAAATCCAAAGCAGCATTGCATTTTTGTCAGCAGGTCTGTAGAATCCCTGTCTCCCTTAGTGGAGAATGTTAACCTTG